GTAAGATATGAGTGAAATTTATAAAATATATATTGCAGTTACTATGCTAATTACTTAAATGCCAGGTTAGGGGTATATATTCTATATAAAGTTTTAAACCAAACAGGAGAGGCTCTCTCCTTTTCTCCACCATTGTGGTGTATGTGGTTGACTGCTCCTGCCATGTATTCTCACAAGACTTTCAGAATCAAGCGGTTCCTAGCCAAGAAACAAAAGCAGAATTGTCCCATTCCCCAGGGGATTCATATGAAAAATGGTCATAAAATCAGGTACTACTCCAAGAGGAGGCATTGGAGAAGAACTATGCTGGGTCTATAAGAAATCACACATGAGATGGCACATATATTTATGCTGTATGAAGGGTCATATGCTCATATCCTATCACTTTGTAACATCACTACTACTTGAACAATGACATGTATTATCAGAGAAATGATTTTTCTGTTACTATACTTCTGTACCAGTAGGTTGGTTGAGTAATAAATATATGAGACCTTTTGTTTAAAAAAAAAAAAGGAGAGTAAAAGAGTTATAAATAAAAATACATTTATATTGTCTTTTATATTTATCTATACAGTTACCTTTACTGGTTCTCTTTATTGTGCATGTGTGTGGATTTTAGTTACTGTGTAGTATTCTTTTATTTCACCCCAAAGGAATTCCTTTATTTTCTCATAAGGCAGGTCTGTTAGCAATGAATTCTCTCATTTTGTATTTACCTAAGGATACCTTGATTTCTTCTTTATTTTTCCTGGATATCATCTTGGTTCATAGTCTTTCAGCATTTTGAATATGTCATACCACTGCCTTCTGACTTACATGGTTTCTGATAAGAAGTCAACAATTATTCTTATTAAGGATCTCCTTATGTGATGCATCACTTTCTTCTTGATGCTTTCAAGATTCTCTCTTTGCTTTTGGCTTTTGAAAGTGTCTATGATATATCTAGGTGTGGATCTCTTTTGGTTTACCCTACTTGGAATTTTATGAACTTCTTGGATGTTCATATTAATGGTTTCCATCTAATTTAGGAAGTTTGGAGCCATTATTCCCTTAACTATTTTTTCTGCCCCTTTCTCTTCTCTCCTTCTGGGACTCTCATTATGTATCTGTTGGTACAATTGACGGTGTCCCACAAGCCTCTTGAGGCTCTGTTGATTTTTTCATCGTTCTTTTTTTCTTCATGTTCCTCACACTGGAGAATCCCAATTAACCTATCTTTAAGTCCACAGATTCTTTTTTCTGCCAGCTCATTTCTGCAGTTGAACTCCTCTAACATATTTTTCCTTTTAGTTACTGTGTTTTTCAACTTCAAAATTTCTATTTGGTTGTTTTTTTAAAATGTCTGTCTCTTTATTTATATTCTATATCTTATAAGATATTGTTTTCATATTTCCCTTTAGTTCGGTAGACATGTTTTCCTTCAGTTCTTTGAACACATTTATAATAGCTGATTTAAAGTCTTTTCCTAGTAAGTCCAATGTCTGGGTTTAATTTGGGACAGTTTCTTTTCTTTTTTTTTTAAGATTGTATTTATTTATTTGAGAGAGAGGATGAGATAGAGAGAGAGAGCATGAGAGGGGGGAGGGTCAGAGGGAGAAGCAGACTCCCCGCTGAGCAGGGAGCCCGATGCGGGACTCGATCCCGGGACTCCAGGATCATGACCTGAGCCAAAGGCAGTCGTTTAACCAACTGAGCCACCCTTATTTGGGACAGTTTCTATTGGTTGCTTTTTTTCCCTGTGTAAGTCATACTTAACTGTTTCTTCTCATGTTGCATAATTTTGTTTTGAAAACTGAATGTTTTAAACAATGTGGCAACTTGGGAAATCACATTTGCTCCACTCCCCAGAGTTTTCTTGTTGTTGTTATAGTTGTTTATTGTTGCTGCTACTGTTATTCTTATAGTTTGTTTATTGAGTGATTTTCCAAACTAATTCTCTAATGTCTGCATTCTTTGTCATGTGTGACCACTAAAGTCTCTGATAGGTAAGCTTAATGGACTTTTAATGATTAGACAGAGATTGCCTTAAATGGCTTACACCTATAAACCTCCCAGTCTTTGCCAAGGAGCTGTGTGTGTGTGTGTGTGTGTGTGTGTGTGTGTGCTGAATCATGCCTTCACTCCTCCAGAAGACAGTTTGCAACACTATCCTATCCTTCACTTCCTGTTTACACAAAGGCTCATGATCAGCCAGAGGTAATAAAATACAACTTTCTCAGATCTGTCTTGGGCATGTACACAGCCCTATACCTATATGTTGCATTCTAGTTCCTTAGAATATGTGTGAGCTTGCCAAAGCCCCCTACAAATGCCACAATACATGATTTTCCTCTCAAGTTTTTTTAAAGGAGACTCCTGTTTGTCCTAAAAGGCACCACCTCCTTGGAAAGCTGTGATACTACACTATTACCATGGATTGTATTTGACAGATGCTCTGGGGATGAGGTTTTTCTCATGGAGCAAGCTAAGTCGTGTCCAATAAAGACAAGCATTCTGAATGCAGCTTGATTTTCAGGAAACTACCAGACAGGTCAAATAGTAATAGCTCTCTGGGGTTAGGGCTTTTGGGGGAGCACCAAGTTTGTTTTGCCACCTTCAGTAACTGATAAGCTGCTAGTTTTCACATCTACTGTGCTTACCAGTCCCCTAATTTTAAAGAATCCAGTAGATCTAGGGAGATGAGGATAAGACTAGGGCAAGATAAAAATGCCACAAAGTTCACAGTTCTTACTTAGATTTAACTGATTTTTTTGGCTCCTTGAATTGTTACAGCCTTTTGTTAATTTCCAAAGTTCTGAAACTATTGATTTTTACAAGTTTTTCAGTCAGCATTCTCATTGTTTGTATAAAGGAGTAGATTTTCAAAGGTCCTTACCCTAATAGTGTTTCTTACCAGAAATTCTTCTCTATTGTTTATTATTAAAATACATAAATGTAAGACTTTTGAAAATAGGAACATACATTTAATAGGATGAATTAAACAGATATTACCAATATTTGATCAAAAAGTAACAATGACATGTTCTTTCTGTTCCATGATACAATTAGATATTTTTGTACTTTCTGTTCCTTTTCCATAATACTTGTCTGAACTATTTGAAGTCTTTAGGACACACTTCTTTTATATTATGTAGTGGAAAAACTGAATACAATCAACTTAGGAGACTATTAAAGACCACACAGTGGGGAAAAGAAAGTCTCTTCAACAAATAATGTTGGAATAACTAGATCTCCATATGCAAAAGAATGAAGTTGGACTCCTACCTGAAGCCATAGGCAAAAATTTATTCAAAATTGAATATAGACCTAAATTTAAAAGCTAAAAATATAAACTCTTAAAAGAAAACATAAGATAAATCTTTGTGTCCTTGCTTTTAGGCAATGTTTTCTTAATATGACACCAAAAGTACAATGACAAAAGAAAAAGAGCTAAAGAGGACTTCATCAAAATTAAAAACTTCTGTGTTGCAAAAGGCATCAAGAAAATGAAAACGCAACCCCCAGAATGGGATAAAATATTTGCAAACCACATATCTTATAAGGGACTTATATCCAGGACCTTTTGCCACTCAACAATAAAAAGACAAATAATCTAATTCAAAAATGGTCAAAGGATTTGAATCGACATTTCCCCCAAAGAAGATATACAAATTACCAATAAGCACATGAAATAATACTCAACATTGTTAGTCATAACAAAAATGCAAACAAAACCACAATGAGATACCACTTTATTTCCACCGGCATGTTTATAATCAAAAAGGCAGACAATTACAAGTGTTGAAGAGGGTGTGGAGAAATTAGATCCATGATCATGCACTGCTGTTGGGAACATAAAATAGTCCAGCCTCTTCGGAAAACAGTTTGGCAATTCCTCAAAATCTTAAGCATAGAATTACCATATGTGCAGCAATTCTACTCCTAAGAGAAATGGAAACATTTGTTGACACAAAATAAGATACTTAAGCAGGATATTTAAAATAAATATTTAATCGCTTCTCAGCTTTTTGGCTAATATCAAGTGTACTAAATATTGAAAACTTATTTATAATAGCATTACTAATAATGGCCAAAACGTAGAAACTACCCAAATTTCCATCAACTAGTGAATGGATAAACAAAATGTAATATAGCCATACAATGGAGTATTAATTGGCAATAAAAAGGATTAAAGTACTGATACATGCTACAACAAGGATGAAACTTGTAAACATCATGCTAAGTGAATTAATCCTGTCATAAAAGATCACATATTTCATGATTCCATTTATATGAAATGTCCAGAATAGGCAACTCTCTAAAGACATTGGGTTAGTGGTTTCCAAGGGCTGGGGGAAGGAGGGGAATAGGGATGGTTAAAGGGTTTCTACATAAGGTGATGAAAATGTTCTAAAATTAGATAGTTGTGATGGTTGCATGACTCTGAATATTCTGAAAAACACTCTGATGTTTATACTTTAATAAAGTTTATAAATATTTATATTATTTATTTATAATAAAATACACACACAAAAAGAATATTTTGGTATGTAGAATTATATTTCAATAAAACTTTTTTAAAAAGCTAAATATAAGTCAAACATAAAATCCACTTTGCCTTGCAGCTCTGTTCTTATCAAGCCACATTAGACTAACTCCTCATGTCAGTACAATGTTATAACATCAAGCTAAATGTTCTCCCTGAAAAATCATTTGATCATTTAATTTTGGGAATTTTACTTACTAGCAACAGAGGGTTTTTAGAAATGTAGGAATTTATTTCCAGCTCTCTAAAAATGTCCGTCCATTTTATATCACAGAATTGTTTTGGTAGACCAGCTGTTTGTCAATAAGGTCCTTTTCATCTATAAATTACTCATATAGGCTATTTCTAAAATATCCATTATTTTTAAACACTGCAAATCACATTCACTGTCATCATAAGTTAAATCTCTCTTTCTCAGGGAAAATGGCTTTATTTTTTTTCAAGTTTCAGATACTTATTAATCAGCGTAAACCCCAACACAATACACCAACATGATTTCGTACATTTAGAGGGGAAATATTTCCTGGATAAGTGGAAAATTGTGTGGATGTCTTCTGGAAAACCTTCATTCCAAGCAGCTTTATAGTGAAACATTTCATTTAGAAGTCTGGACCTTCTTTCTTCACTTTGCTGTAATCTACATTCACTGAGTAGAACTTGTATTGATCATTGGGACCCAGTTTGTTCCAGGGTTCTGGGTTATTCTTCCTATACCAACTGACATCTGGATTGAACAATGCCAGGCACAAGACATACAGTGGTGCTCCAGTAACTCCTGCCCAGTAAATACCCAGTAGAGCAACGGCTGTCGTAATTATTATTACAAAGAGGGGGATCAAGCTCTGATGCTTCTTGGTCTGACCGAGGATCTGGTGTAACATGGTTATGGCAGAGACCTCCAGTCCAGGAGAAGAATAAATCAAATCTACAAGGCCCAGCACTAAGTAATCCCTACCAGGAAAATGGTTTTAAAGCATAGGGATTATCTGATTATCTTGTGGAACTTAAATTGGATTCCAAATAAATAGTTTTAGTAACAAAACTGAAAAAGTTCTGTTTAACTTGACTGACCTTTTCTGGTAACAGTGTTGGGGGTGGTTCTGAAAGTCTTATTTCCAAAAGAAAAATTTTTTTTTCTTCTGTGTGAATTGTCACAAGTCACACATAACATTGAACAACTCAGGTGCAGTCAGTTTATCCTTTTCTCCGCTCCTTGTGGCCTCTTCCAAGATCATCAGAACGATTTAGGAGAAACAGCATACGAATTTCTATTTTAGTCTAATCCTTTTCTCCATTCATATTTTCAATGTATCTCCAAATTACAGAAAGACATTCTTCTTTTTTTAATTTAAAGATTTTTATTTATTCATTTCTCACACACACACACACACACACACACACAGCACAAGCATGGGGAGGGACAGGCAGAGGGAGAGGGAGAAGCAGGCTCCCTGCCGAGCAAGGAGGCCAATGCGAGACTCAATCCCAGGACCCTGGGTTAATGACCTGAGCAGAAGGCAGATGCTTAACCAACTGAGCCATCCAGACGCACCAAGACATTTTTCTTTTATTACACTTTGAAAATAGGATTTTATGTCTGGCCAACATTTAAATGTATTTTCTATGGCCCGCAACAGTGATGGCCATCTCATAGGCATATGCCTAAGGAAGCTATCTCCTATTTTCATACAGTCAAAAATCTCATTGAGAGCTACTGCTTGCTTTGAGGAAACTGAAAAGTGATCAGAACTTTCATTACGAAAGTCTCAATGTCACAAGTAAGTAAATCACACCTCTTTGTACCACTGTTGTGTGCAATTAGTACACCATATTTAACAGGTAAGATCTTTTTATTTGGTAAGAAGTTTATGGACTGAGTGCAATTTACCAAAATTTACATTTGTATTATCTTCCAAAAGTGCACATAGGTGAATAAAATCTAGTTTGAATTTAGAGAAGATATAAAAAATCCTTTGCTTTATCTTTTCTGTGGTTGCATTTAAATCTTCATAGAAATAAGAAAGGCTAGTTGAATCTCCATTTTTCAAACCAAAATACCTAAGAACTAAGGGAATTTGCTGTTTTTAAATATTTATTTAATTTTATTTTTTTAACATAGTATTATATTAGTTTCAGGTGTACAATATAGTAATTCAACACTTCCATACATCACCCTGTGCTCAATAGGACAAGTACACTCCTTAAACTCCATTACCTCTTTAACCAATGCCCCCACTCTCCTCCCCTCTGGTAAGCCTCCATTATCTATAATCACTTCTTCTTTATCCATTCATCTATTGATGGACACTTGTACTGCTTCCATATTTGGCTATTGTAAATAATTGTAAATTGTAAATAATGTTGTTATAAACATAGGGGTGCATGTATCACTTTGAATTAGTGTTCTTGTATTCTTTGGGTAAATACCCAGTAGAGCAATTGCTGGATCACAAGGTAGTTCTATTTTTAGCTTTTTTTTTTTTTAAAGATTTTATTTATTTATATGACAGAGAGAGAGAGCGAGAACAGGAACACAAGCAGGGGGAGTGGGAGAGGGAGAAGCAGGCTTCCCACTGAGCAGGGAGCCCGATGTGGGACTCGATCCCAGGACCCTGGGATCATGACCTGAGCCGAAGGCAGATGCTTAACGACTGAGCCACCCAGGCACCCTATTTTTAGCTTTTTGAGAAAACTCCATACTGTTTTCCACAGTGTCTGCACCAGTTTGCATTCCCACCAACAGTGCACAAGTATTCCTTTTTCTCCACATTCTCAACCCCTGTTATTTCTTGTGTTGTTGATTTTAGCCATCTGACAGCTGTGAGGTGATGTCTCATCATAGTTTTCATTTGCATTTCCCTGATGATAAGTGATGATAAGCATCTTTTCATGTGTCTGTTGGCATCTGGATGTCTTCTTTGGAGAAATGTCTGTTCATGTCTTCTGCCTATTTTTTAATTTAATTTTAAATTCCAGTACAGTTAACCTACAGTGTTATAATAGTTTTAGATGTACAATATAGAGATTCAACATTTCCATACATCACCCAGTGCTCATCACCACAGGTACCCTCCTTAATCCCCCATCACGTATTTTACCCATTTCCCACCCCCCTCCACTCTGGTTACCATCAGATCTTACTATAGTAAGATTTTGTTTGTTTTTGGTCAGGATTTGAGGCATCACTTAATAACTGTAGACAGCATGATTGTAAGATCTAACAGAATTGGTTCTACACTGTAAGAGCCCTTCACACTTGTTATCAAATTTATCAAAATTTCCCCTTTTGTTCATCCACAGGACATTTTAGTTATATCCTCTAGATCATAAAATATAATTTACTTGCTTTCACAGAGCTATTGAGAGAACTGTAAGGTAATGCAAGTCCATTTGTTCAGTATATCCACGCTAATTTGGCTGTCATTGTTTCTGACTGAGTATGGTGTCTCTTAATGGAATGCAAAAAAAGACTGATTTAGAAAACCTTGACTGTCTCATTCTGTAATTATGAGATTCAGTCTCTGTATGTACTTTCATATCACCTTCTCCATCATCCTATATTCCAAATTCTTTTCTGCATATTTTGCAGGATGTTCTTTTTTGTGTGTTTAACTTCTTAGACCAGTTTTATATGTTCTTCCATCTGTCATTAAAATAGCAGTCATTTAGTCTTCTTTTTTGGTAATGTCTGGGTCATGCTGCCATTGGTATTTTGATTGTTCCCATTTTCATTATCTGAATTCTTAGAAAACAAAGTCACTATATTAACAATGTTAACAATTAAATAGTACTATTTTGATTAAAAGAACAATAGTTAATCTACCAACCAAGTGAAAGACCAATGTTATTGCTCACTATTAAAATGCACATTTAAGAAGCACTTGGTGTGCTGCAACAGTGGCTGATCCATTATCGTGAACCACAAAATACAATTTCCAACATCCGCAGTGGAGAAAAACTAGCTACAGGGTCTATGGAAAATGGATGATCTATGCCTCATCCATTTGACACTAAAAACAATGTTCCTTTCATTCCCTAATTTTTTTGCCATCTTAAAGATTCTGTACCTCTGTCTTCTGCACACATTGCCAAAAACATAACTTTTCACATTCTGAGGAGGGATTTCCCAGAATGTAAGGATTTCAGCACTAACACAGATAATTTTCAGGAAAACTGCAATGGTCAGTCACCATTGCTTCAGAGCCCAAGAGGAGAAAAGAGGAGGGCCTCCATGCAAGGCAGCAGGCTGGCCTAGATTGTCAGAGCCCAGGAAATTTGAAGAGGGTGACTTCATGGTGTGGGAGGTAACAGCAGTGGTCTATTCAGGGTATAAGTGTGTGATTCAGGTGAGGAGGTCTTCAGTATAGGTGAAGGGATGGTGTCTACAATGAGAAATTATCTACTTCTAGTTGCTTGTGATTGCATAAAGAAGGATTGGTCAAGCAAGTAAAGGTATTAAGGAAAATGGGATCCAGGTTCCCCATTGTTGGGGAAGGGAGTTATAATTATGAAAATGGGGAAAATTGGAGTGAACCCAGTAGTGTTGAAGTTGGAATTATGAGTGAGAACCAATAATTTCCAAGGTGTTTAAAGAGACTTGGAAAAAATGTACATGTGAAAAATGTGTGTATGAGTGTATGTGTGTCCCCTAACTCTCTCCACTCAGAGAACCTGGAAGCAGCAACATTTCAATAGTAGTTGGGCCCACCTAGTGCTTATCTTGCTCTAAATACTTTTGGTCACTAAAATGAACCAGGGCTTCTTGAAGAAATGTTTAATTCCAGGGTGGCTCAGTTGTTATGCGTCTGCCTTCGGCTCAGGTCATGATCCCAGGGTCCTGGCATGGAGCCCTGCATTGGGCTCCCTGCTAAGCGGGAAGCCTGCTTCTCCCTCTCCCACTCCCCCTGCTTGTGTTCCCTCTCTCGCTGTCTCTCTCTCTGTCAAATAAATAAATAAAATCTTTAAAAAAAGAAATGTTTAATTCCAGGTCTGAGATGGGGAAAATACAAAATGACTCTGGGATATCTTGTGCCAGATAGTAAGGAAGTGCTCAAAGAAGATTGAGAGTATATCCAAAGGACACAAAAAAACAGCCTGAAGAGGAACACTTTTGAGCATCAAAACACATAATGGTAGGATATATTATAGCCAATTCAATTACACAGGCAAATATGAGTCCATGATATAAATATATTTAATAAATAAATTTAAATAAATAATTTAAATAAATTTAAAGCTTGATGAGGAACAAGATATTTGTGTAGCATCAGATTCTTATTGATTGCAGAGGGAGTATTTTTACAGTGAGAAAAGTTGGGAGGCAACACTAATCAAGTGATCAAAGTACAATATCTAACATTGAAAAATCCAAATTACACACTGTCTGCTGGGATGCAATGAGCAAAACACAGCATCATTTCTATAATATCACTACATAAAATCATTAGCAAACATCAGACATACCCAAATCAAGATGCAGGTTACAAAATAACTGGCCAATAGTCTTCAAAAATGCCAAGGCCATTAAAGTCAAGGTAAAACTGAGGAATTTTTTTAGACTCTAGAGAACCAAAGAGACATGACAACTGTATACAGTACAAGATTCTGTCCTGGATCCTTTTGCTACGAAGGACATTATTAGGACAATTGGCAAAACCTAGACAAGGTCTGAAGATTAGCTTGTGGTAAATATTATTAATGACAATTTCCTGATTTTGATGGTTCTTTAGGAGAATATTCTTATCTGTAAGACATACACACTGAAGTATTTAGGAGCTATGGGGCATAACGTTGGCAACTTATTCTCATATGGTCCAGGCTGTGGGGTGGGATTCCTTGTTTTATACCAATGATTTTTCTGCAAGTGTGCAATTTTTTTCAG